AAAATGAGACTCAGCTTTAATCGTGTCAAAACTGTGTAGCAATTTATGTCCGAGGGAACGGTAAAAACAATAAAGTGGACCAGCTAGCAATGAAAGGAGTCAAACATCTGAGTGTGATCAAAGAAAGAGGCAGTCAAAGAAAGCCCTTCTAAAACCATTTTCAGTCCAGGTAACCACAAAAGATGTGACCTCTCAGGAGCAACATCAGAGGCTTTAAACTAAAATAGTGCGACCAGTAGTTAAATAAACAAGCAAACTACAATAATAAGCACCAAATGGGTAGGGGAGAATCATATCCAGAGTTGCTACAATATATTATCTAAAATAAAAAAATATATATACATATGATATGCAAAGAAATAAGAAAGTTGCCCGCACACACAGTTTAAAAAAAAAAAAAAAGCAAGCAATAGAACTTTGAGGGGGCCCAGATGTTGACCATAGCAGACAAAGACTTCAAAGCAGCTATCATAAATATATCCAAAGAACGAAAGGAAACTATGTTTAAAAATTTAAAGAAAGCATGATGATAATGTCTCATCAAAGAGACAATATCAAAAAGGAGAAAGACATTATTTAAAAAAAAAAAAAGACGGAAATTCTAAAGTTGCAAGTAAAATAACCAAGAAAAAAAAATCACTACAGAGCTCAACCAGCTGAACTGGTAGAAGAAAGAATCAGCAAATATAAAGAAAAGCTGATAGATTACACAATTTAAAAAAAATGAGAGAACAAAAAGAATGAAGGAAAAGTGAACAGAGCCTCAGAGTAATGTATGACACATTAATCTCACCAACATACTTGTATTGGAATTACCAGGAGAGGGGAGAGGAAAAAGCAAGCAAACAAACAAAACCACAAAAACTTGTTCTAAAAAATAATGCCCAAATTTCCCATATCTGATGAAGAACATTAATCAACACATCCAAAAGGCTCAACAAACTCCAAGTAGGGAAAACACAAAGAGAGGTATACCCAGAAACACCAGAGTCAAACGCTGAAAGACGTTTTTGTCTAAAAGACATCTTTATCTAAAGAGGAAATATGAAGTAGCACAATGAAGCTTAAATAAAGGCAATGTCAGATAAATAGAGATTAAAAGAATTCACTGTAAGAGAACCCAACTATCAAGAAATACTGAAAGAAATTCTTCAGGCTGAAAACAAGTGACCTCAGACAGTAATTCGAAACCATATGAAAAATAGCAAAGAAGTAGAGTACTGGTGAAATAATTATGTAATTATAAAACTTTGCATACATGTATATTACTTCTCCTTTCTCTTCTTAATTGATTTCAAAGGTAGTTATATAAAATTATATATAAGTGTGTGTGTGTGTGTGTGTGTGTGTGTGTGTGTGTGTGTGTATTGTTAGGCCTATCACATATAGAAATGTAATACATTTGCTGATAACAGCAAAGAGGCGATTGGGGAATAAAGTTGTATTGGAGTAAGGTTATGACTTTTCTTCTCCCAGCTTCTCTAAAAGGCATACAATTATGTAAATTAACACTTATAACAATGTATTGTTGGGTTTGTAACATTTATAGATGTAATATGTATAATAATGGCACCACAAGGCAGGAAAAAGAACTATTTAAGAGTAATATATCTATATGGTACTGGAATTAAGTTTGTATAAATCTGCAGTAGACTCTGATAAGTTAAAATATATATGGCAAACCCTAGAGCAACTACTAAGGAAATAACCCCAAAACAAACAAACCAAAGAATTAAGAGAATTTTTGCTTTTACCAAAAAAGGGTGAAAGGTAAAAATGGCATTCAGCATTGGTTTTACAGCGAGCCTCCTAGAGGAAGCATGCGGTCTGAGCAGTCAGAGTCACACTGCCAAGCTCTGTCCCTGGGAACCACACTCAGCATCTTAGCGTCAAACTGCTGTCTTTGAACCGTATCTGTGAATACCTGTGCTGATGTGGGGCATGAGCAAACGGTCAAGACAGAATTATTGAGACATTTTTGGTGCAAAATAAAAAGGTGCTTTTATTACAGCACAGGGACAGGACCCGTGAGCAGAAAAAGCTGCATTTTTGCTGTATGAATCTGATGGTTATATACGCAGTGCTCAAGGGGCAGGGGACATGCGCAGGGGGTATTAGATAATAGATATCTTGTTCGAATTTCTACTCATAAAACTACTTTTGCAAGATTTCTCTGGTGCTTTATCATTCAGCTCGATATTAACTATTGGTGACATGTACAGGCAGTCATGAGAGAATGTAACAACCAGTACATATTTAATTCTTATTGGACCTATATTGTCAGGCTATATAGGTCAGTCTTCTATGCTACAGGTGAACATTTTTCTGCTTCTGTTCTTCATCATTTCCTCCCTGACCAACTTTTCAGTCCTTACATCTTTAAGATTGTTGAAAGGCAAAGGGTTCATCTTCTGTAACTTCCTCAAGTTGATAGGGGTCGTAGAGATGTCCCTACTCAGGGACTGAAATTAGTTACTCTCTTACCCTACAAGAAACTGTTATGGTGGGCCATTACTGTAGAGCCCAGAGGGGACATCGGGATGAATTTGTTTTGAGTAGGATGGAAGGAGTCAGGAACTGCTTGCTTGGCAATAGGAGAGAACCAAGCAAAAGAGACAACACATTAGAATTATTATTAAAATGAAAAATAAGAGGTAGATGATAGCCCACCTCCTGACCAGGAATGTAACCAATTATCAAGTGACAATGCAGTCATTAGGAGCACCAATTTGATTCTTTGTATCAGTAAGTAAACCTGTTACATTTTAGTTATAATCTAGAATACAGACACAATATTCTTCTTTTACAATGGCAGACATTCCTCCTCATGCTGCTGTTAAGATATCTAATGTCATTCTATTTTGTAGAATCGATTTATGCATTGGAGTTACTTTAGTGTTTAATAACATAATGCTATATTGGGAGTCATTTAAGGCCTTAATGTGTATTTATCAAGGGCCTCCATGTGCCGTATGACATCTTCTAAATGTACTGATGGAAGAAAAATAGATGTCAGATGGTCACACCAATGGAACGTGGATCTTGTCCAGCATTGTCGTGAGCCCATCTGTGGGTTGGCATTTTCAGTTAAAATTTTGATAGTTTGAGGATAAGAAAAAGGACTCTTACGGCCTGGAGAGTCCCATGTAACATTTATCATAGGTCAGCAAGAAACATTTTTTTTTTTTTTTAGTAATAGAAATATCCTTTTATGTCCTGGTATTGGAGTGATCTGTCATATTGGCTATGCATTGATATAAATAAGGCCAATCTGTACCTTGTAATGGAGAAACCCACCAAGGGAGGTCTGAAGTGCTTGATGTGTGAAATAAGCCACAAATCTAGCATGAAGACTGGTTTTGTAGCTTACCATGATGTGTCCACTGTAAAGAGTTACCATTTATATATGGTATACATGTGGGCTAAAACTTTGGATACATTAGCAGAGTCATCTGGGATATATACACATTTAGTCTCAATATTAGCATAATAACTTTTTCTTTGACTTGCATTCAGGATGTTAAGGGCCATTAAGTTTTGGAGGGCCACTTTTCGAATTTGTGGCTGACTTCATTTTGGGTTTGGATAAAGGTGGCCGCTATATGTTTGGCTTTAGCCTCTACTTGTAATTTTACGTCAACAGAGGTGGCTCTCAGGACAGATATGATTAAAGGATAAAACCAGTAAGAAGCCTTCTTTCTCTGATGTCTAATCTTAACAATATTCTAATTATGAGGAATCACGGGCAAGTGGGAGATGATCTGTTCCAGGAGATAAGGACATCCCCAAGTGTATTATCCAATCCAAATATAAGGAGGCTGGGGTCATCTATTTTTTCCAAAGTCCATAGTTAACGCAGTGGAGTGGGGTATGCTCTGGCTTTTAAGGAGCGATTTTGTTATCCCAGCCACATAGAATTAATCAAGGTGACAGCGAAGTTACACAATTGTTGGAGAGTCCATCCCATTGTCCAGCTATTTAAATAACCACATGCCCATGGGGTCCCTTTTATTATCCCCACAGAGTAACAAGCAGGAAGACTATCTATATGTGAGCTATTACGGCAATCTCTGAAGTTTACCTCAAGTTGTCTAACTTATGCTATTTAATCAAAACTAGAATCTAACATTCATAAGGATGTGTTATTGAAACACTTTTCTCTAAATTTACCCTTATTTCCAGAGATAACCAAATCAAAACTAATTTGTAAAACAAATCCACTTTAAATTTTTTAAATGTTTATTTATATTTGAGAGACAGAGACAGAGACAGAGAGAGAGAGAGAGAGAGAGAAAGCACAAGTGGGGGATGGGCAGAGAGACAGACTCTGAAGCAGGCTCCAGGCTCCGAGCTGTCAGCCCAGAGCCTGATGCGGGGCTCGAACCCCCAAGCTGCAAGATCATGATCTGAGCCCAAGTCGGATGCTCAACCAACTGAGCCACCCAGGCACCCCAAAACAAGTCCACTTTTAACAAACTTGACCTAATTATTTACATAAGCTCAGCAAGAATAGTGGTTGATCAGACAGATCCTTTAAAATATGTATTGCTGGGAATCTTTTATAAGGAATCTCTAGATTGAACTTTCAATAGACTCCTAAGGCCAGAGCCAAGCCAAATACTTGTCAGACTTGTCTGCAATACCTATAGATTTGGGTGTATTCATTCCTTTTCTTGAGGTCCCCTAAATATCTTGAGGTTTCTGCACCTGCCAGGAAGTGCCATTCTTTACTCACCTGGTAAGGCTCCTAGGAACTCTGTAAGTAAGGTATCAGGCTGACATTTCAAAGGGGGTTCTATTGGCTCCACAAAGTCAACCTTAGTTCCTTAAGGCTGTCTGGTCATATCTGAATCTACGCACGCCTCTCTCAAATATGACATTCCTGTCAAAGCCTCGGTAATATAACCAATGTTTCCAAATGGTGTCCTGTTACTAGGAGAGTAGATTCTCACTGAACTTATGCAAATAATTGTAATTGCTACAGAAGAAAGAATATTCACTGAGAGTTTCTGAATTCTGGAGGGTTCATGTAGGGAGACAAGTTAGAGGTTTCAATTTGTTTGCAAAGGAATATTTTATCATATTTCTATACGTCACAGGTATCATAAGAGAAAACTTCCTTATTCTGGAAGAGAATACATTAGAGAACCAGCAATGTTTCAAACAAGAGTCATAAAAACTATAATCATCTTTCTCAATTCATTTAGTCTTATGTTAGTAATTTTTGTTCAGGTCGCATGTAGCTGTCCCGTTAGTTCAAGAAATTTAACCCAGTTCAGTTTTATTATGTTAAACATATCAAATACCTATACTAAAAAAAAAAAAAAAAGGTCATTTACATGAGTCTCCTTGAAGACAAAACTCACTGGGCAAGAGCATCAGAGCAATAACTATAATTGACAAAAGAACGTCAGAAATGGACATGGCTAAAGACTGATATGAAGAGTTCATTATAATGCAGCTGACACAAATATGGTTCTGTGATACATAAGACTTCAATAATCAGAATATCAAGTGATGACCTTATGTTAGGACATATTAAAACTTCAGGAATTTTATATATTTTCTTGAATAGTTATAGCATTTACCTATACAATATAACCAATGGTTTATCATCATTGGCTTGATAGTGCTTAACACACCAAGTAAGACTAATTAGTCAAAAAGACTCTACCATTTAAATCTTAGGAAGTTTGTTAAAAAACTCAAAGTTTTAAAGCACATGCCTAAATAGGATTGCAGATCATTATAAATTTAATATTTATATTTTTAACAATGGTGGCAATAGGGATTCTACAGAGAGTTATATAGTTGTTAGCAAAACTAAGCTCCTTTAACACTGAGAAGTTTTAACTTTCTTAAGTAACCAAAGACCTAAAAAGACAAAACACAGAAGCTTTAGCTTTCTAGGCAGATAGAGGGGAGAGAGAGAGGGAACAAAAATCTAGGTGCTTAATTTCAATTTATTTTGTGCATCTGTTAACAAGATGTGTTCTAGGTATCAGAAAAGCCTATAAAAGAGGTTATTTTTGGGGTCTGGGGATGCTAAAACTTTTTTCACAAATTAATGGTATTGTCATTTTGGCTTATGAAAGGTTTCATGATAAAGCTCTATTTTTTTTTGTTGTTATTTAAAAGTTTTATTTTGAGACAGAAAGCATGAGCAGGGGAGGGGGAGGGACAGAGAGGGAGGGAGAGAGAGAATTCCAAGCAGGCTCTGTTCCGAGCCCAAAACAGGGCTCAAACTCATGAACCTTGAGATTGTGACTTGAGCCTAAATGAAGAGTCAGAGGCTTAACCCACTGAGCCACTCAGGCACCATGGTAAAGGTGTTTTTAGATAGTGGGTAATTATCTGTACTAAAAGTATTGATTGTAAAACATGATATGGGGCAAAGGGAAGAAAACAGTTTAACAGTCAAGTGGAGGGGAAGAATAACTGGATATGTATTTTATGAAAACAGATGACTAAAGAAATTATCATCCAATATTTGTTGGTTGAGCCAGCAGTTAGAAAAATAACTAGGTACCAACATGCTAATATTACAGGACACTACATTTTTGTTAGTGGTTTGGCAAAACCATTGTTGTAGTGAAATGTATTTTTACACTAAGTTGTACATGCAAGTACACTGAAATGCTATACATACTGATGAGCAATCAGAATACTACTGGAAAATAAAAAAATGAGGAAGACTAAACCTTGAGGTAGAAAACTTTCCCTTTTTTATAGGATATGGGAAGCAAGTACCAGATATTTTGGTCTCAGCTCTTCCAGCTCCCACCTTCCTGTCCTCTCAGGACACTGAAATAACTTCTTTTTTTGTAGTTTAGCCTCCAAGTAGATTCCAATTTATCAGGGCCAATCACAAATGTACACATACAGGTAGGTACAGCTTTGGAAGCCATTCCCCACGATCTCTTGATTCCCTGCAAATAAAAGCTTTCTTTGTGCCACAACTCAACCTGGTGCACTTTCTGACTCACCAAAGAGCAAACTCCTATTGGCTCAATTACACTACCAAACAACACTGGACACCTGGCTGCAAATTCCCATTTTCTTCTATTACACTCCTGTAGCTGTGGGTAAAAAAGCGCTACCTAAGCACAGTCAGAAAACAGGCTGTTTTACTTGTTAGCATATTAGTCATTGGTACTGAAAGTGCATAGATGCCATCTTTTTATGCCAACTTCCTTGAATCTTCACTAGTTGCCAACCTTTTTCCCCTCCTCCAAATTCCCAAGGTTTAAACACTTTAAATCATTGTTATCTCCTCAACTTGTTGGTAAATTCTGAGAAATGGCAAGTGACTAAATGGTTGGCAAAAAGATAAGGCATGAGGGGCGCCTGGGTGGCACAGTCGGTTAAAGCGTCCGACTTCAGCCAGGTCACGATCTCGTGGTCTGGGAGTTCGAGCCCCGCGTCAGGCTCTGGGCTGATGGCTCAGAGCCTGGAGCCTGTTTCCGATTCTGTGTCTCCCTCTCTCTCTGCCTCTCCCCCGTTCATGCTCTCTCTCTGTCACAAAAATAAATAAACATTGAAAAAAAAAATTAAAAAAAAAAAAAGATAAGGCATGAGATAGTATCATCCCTCAAAGCACATTTGTTTTAACTTAAGAAAGATACCATCAGTGAATCTATACAGAAATGTCCAGAGGCCAAACCTCTTAGCCACAGCTGCCAGCCTTGGAAGGCTGCAGTACCATGCATCCATATACAGAACTTGGGCAGTACCACATACCCACATGCACATTTATGGCATAAACAGCACCTATATCTAATATCTAATTATCCCCACTCTACAAACTATTTCTCCCAAATCACCATTTAATCAAGCAAATCTCCCGTTCGACAAAGTGCAATGGCTTAAGTTGCTCATTTCATATTAAACTGGAATTAAATACTTCCAATATTTGGACTTCTTCCCATCAGTCCAAACCTGGGTTTGGAAGGAACAATCCAAATGACAGCCCTGCCTTAGTTTAAAGCTAGGTTCTCTTTTCTGCTTATTATGGATCTTTGATAAGAAATACAATTGCTGAGAAGTCTGTTTTGCTTGCTGTTTGCTACGAGCATTGTGAGGCCTTTCCTGAATGTAACCCACTGTGTAGTAGAATGGGTTGTAAACCTTCCTAAATGTAGTCTGATATGTAATGGAATGAGTGATTGTACATAAACTAACCGGCATTTTTCGCTTCTGTAAACCTGCTTGCTTAGCACATTCCTCACCTACCCCCTTCCCCCTTCCCCCTTCTTTCCTCCCGAAACAAGTAACGGACAAAGCCTTCCCGCCAAAGGACAAAGGACGCCCAATCAGAGAACAACAAATGTCCTTACTTTAAAATCAACTAATCAGGCCCCTCATAATTTGAAACCTCCCCTGTGCTATTTGTCTCTGTCTATAAAAACGCTGTACCAACCCTGATCGAGGCCTCTTGCGTCACCGGCGACGAGTGCGCAGGGGACCAGGTTCGAACCTGCAATAAACGACCCTTGCTGCTTGGCTTTGACTTATGACTCTGGTGGTCTTTTGTGGGAGGTTTGGAACTTCAGGCATTACAGGTTCCCACTTCTTCCCTACCTCCACATCTCCATACCTTAAAACTTGCTTATCTTCTCGGCTTCTTCGTACATTCTGTTCCGTTCACCAGACTGTTCCCTTATTTACTAAGATCTAGCTTCAGTTCCTCCTGTTTGACAAAATGATCTCTATCCGGGTGAAAAATGACTTTCCCTTTAAGGTGTCTTCCAAAGAACATCCTGTCTGGGCCATATGACAGGTAATAGCACAGAATGCTAAATTTGTTGAGCTTTATGAAGGCCATGTCACGAGCAGGGGATATGTTGAGTATTCATTAAAAAAAAAAAAGAACAGAAACGTTTTCCCCGCTCAATAACCCATAAAGGATGTTTAAGAAGTAACACCTTTTGGTACCTTCCTCTCTCTCCCCTTCTTTCCAAATTCCCTAAACCGGCTTTCTTTCTCTTCCACTCTTCCCATGCCTATGGGGAGACTGAAAATGTGGAGTTTGTGGGCTGGGCTGCACCAACTTTTTTTTTTTTTTTAATTTTTTTCAAGGTTTATTATTTTTCAAAGACATAACGTGAGCAGGGGAGGAGCAGAGGAAGAGGGAGACAGAATCTGAAACGGGCTCCAGGCTCATAGCGGTCAGCACAAAGCCCGACAGGGGACTCGAACTCACAGATGGCGAGATCATGACCCGAGCTGAAGTCAGTCGCTTAACCAACTGAGCCACAGGGCGCCCCTCAGCTGCACCAACTCTTAACGCTGTGTCTCGGAACCGAAAGCGCGTAGCAGGTCCATTAGCCTCCGGCTCGCTCAGGACCTAAGAGAGGGCCCACTCAAGCCCGCCACCACGCCGGGAAAATGGGGCGCTTCCTGGCGGGGAGGGATTTCCGGGATTCTCCCGCAGGAAAATGGAAAAAGGCGCGTGTGAGAGAGAAGGGATGCGGAAGAGCCTAAAGAAAACGAGAAGAGGAAGGACGGCGGTAAAGGGAGGGCCTGAGGCGGAACCAAGGGGAGGTTCCGGCAAGAGGGAAAGGGTCGCGGGGGAGCGGATAAAGGGGGCGGAAAGCGGAAGAGGGTCGTGGGGGAGCGGAAAAGGAGGTTGCCTGCTTCCAGGCGCACTGGACTGCGTGGCTGTAGGGGCTGCCCTTTAAGTGTCATCTAGGACAGGACTCTAGCTTGTCGCTGTGTCATGGGCTTTAACGCTTCTCAGTACGAATTACAAGCGGGGACCCGCCCGGGCTCACCGGGGCGTTCCTAGTGACGTTATCGCGGAGGTCCACTGCCCTCTGCTGGGCGTGGGGACGCAGTGCCGAGCGCCGCTGACGGACTTTGCCAGGTGAAGGAGGGCACTTGGGAAGAGTAAAACTTTCCTAAGGGTTGTGGCAAAATAGCCTACATTAGCATTTTCAAAAGAACGGGGAGACAGGATTTCAACGCACTAGTTTAAATTCTAAATACTTTTCAGGCATAGACAGGGTGGGTGATGTTCCCTAGGACTTCTGGATTTGTCCTGTGTATTAAATTATTTTGCTTAATTAAGACATTTGTTTCGTCCAGCCGACTTTTCAGTAACAACAGAAAAATGTCCAAATCATTTTTGGTAAGAGTTCTTTAATTCTAAAATACTTTTGAGCCTCGAGAATCCTTTTAATGCTACACCACACACCACGGTCACAAATGTAGGGGATTAAAACCACTGGTTACTTAAATTACGTATTTAAAGGGCTTATGGGACCTTGAGAAAAAAAGTGTATCAACCCCCCCCCCCCCCAACTCCCTTTCTTTTCCAACTCTGAGAACCTCCTGTTTACCAACTGTTGGCTCTAGGTGCTAGGGATATAGAGATAAATGGCCTGGGCAAGAATAACAGAGGACCCCTTTTGTGAAACTTTGCACTCTATTGGAGGAAATAAGCTTCGGGGGAAGATGTAATCGTGAAGTCTCCTGGGAGAGGGAGGAGCATAGCAGGAAAACAGCTGATCCTTTCTTGATCTCCCCTTGCCGGATCTGAAAGAGAAGTAGTTAATTGTTGCATTTCAGGAAGAGAAACCAGCTTGCAAGAATGGAGTTGAAACAGGGTGAGTGACGGGAATAAGAAAGTGGATAGTTCTTTTGTGGACAGATTCTTAAGCCTCCTAAGGCATTATGGATTCTTAATACTTGTTTGCCAAATTATTATTGTCTTTCATTATTTGTCAAGCACCATTCTAAGCGTTGCAAAGGCCTTGCTTTCCAAAATCCTGTGGCAACGTCGGTTAAACGAGTAATTACGTGGGGGGAAAAAGAATATAAATGCTGTGCAAGCAAACAGTAAGAGTATTTTATGTAGCGTAAGTATTAAAGGAGATGACTAGGAGTTACTCTGCGGAAGAGAAAAGTGTAACAGGTGAGGGGTCACATATATAGACGTGAGGAACAAAGAGAAAAACCTGAAGGATTTGAGAAACTAAAAGTTCATTTTGGCTGTATGAAGAGTTGTGTGTATGGTGGCATGTGATAAAGCTCGAAAGGTAGGTTATATAATGACAGTCTCAAGAGAAACCAAAACTTGAAAATCAAGTCCTGTTTGGACAGTCTTAAATAGAATCTTTCTGACTTTTTTTTGTTGTTTACCACCTCCCTCGGGCTAATTGTTATTAAGTATGCATTTGTGTTAAGTTTCTGTATTAAATAAATCCAGCAGATGGTAAAACGGGTTAATATGGCTTTTAAGAGAAAAGCTAGCTTATTTCCTGTGCAGGGAGGGGAACTATTTGATCCTTTGCAGACTTGAAAAAAACAGTTGGAGAGAGTAACACATTTGATCTTGGATGTCAGGACCTTTCTTCTCTTTCCCTTTTCCAGTGGCTTGGTTATGAGCTCATTCCACTGGTCTAACTCTGGCAGGACAGCAAAATATCCTTTACAACAAGTTTTAAACATACGTTTTGTCATGAATACAGTTTACAAAATCGTAAATTCCTCAGAACTTTTCCATTGCCTTACGATTCTGGAACAGATCCAAAATGCTGACTGTTTAACTACATCCTTACACAGAACCTGAATCTCAACCCTTGTTCGTACACATATACTTTCAGACACTATAGTATTTTCATAGTGGCTGATACTTTATCATCTCCTTAGCACTGAACTCTTGTCTAATTTGGTCTTAGAATTTAGAATTGGGATGATGTATACATAATAGGCTATTACCAAGTTTCTAGAATATGATTTCCAAACTTGAGGTCAGCAAACCTAGTAGGCTTAAGCAGTGCCCTCGAGTTTTTGTGGTACTCTTCTGTGGCACAGACAAGGAAATGTGAAGAGAGGAGAGAAAAGAAGGGAGAGTTAGTAGTGGAAGAAGGATAGGAATGGGGAAGGAGAGAAAAAATGTTAGTCATATGTATGTTTAATTTTGTAATGATTTAAAGTAAGGAGATAATAGATCTCATGGCATCTATGTCAATTGCCTTTGTGTTTTAGATATTGGAGAGGTAATAGATGAGGATAGAACAGGCTCCTTACAAGAGGGAAAATATATTGTTTATTGATTTTATTATCCCACAAGAATAATTAAAAATGCTAATGATTTTGTAAGCCTTATTCCTTATTTTCTAGTTTAACTCTTTGTTCTTTTCCCTAAACAGAATATTGTGGAAAATACAGGCAAATTTAGTTTTTGAAAATAGCCATTGAAGTCCTTATCAAGTTTTGGGGGGCACTTTTTAAAATGCTGAAGTCATGGTAAATATGGAAAAGATCAGGACCTTTGCCTCAGTTGAATTTGCCATTGGGTTTCTGTTCTGTATCTGACATCCCCAGGAGCAAAGCATGCATAGAGCAAACTGGATATATTGTATTTGACTCTGACTGTCTTATGTAGGCCTTTCAGTTTTGTGAACTGACCTGATAAGTGATCTTATGAGCTTATTTTCCCTAGACTGGAGGCAGGCCCAAGGAACCCTGAGCCCTACTGTATTTGATCTTCTTCAAATGGGACAAGATAAAGGCAAAATCCCAGGTTCCTTTTATCACATAAACCTCTGAGAGAGAGAGAGCGAGCGAGAGTGGGCGCAGGGTGTGTGCGTGTGTGTGTGTAAAAGAAGGGAGAATAGAAAGAACTAAGCAAATCCAAAATAGCAGTCCCAGGGCAGATAGTTTCACTTTGTTGCCTGGTACACAGAGCTATAGCACACTGAAAACCAATATCCTCCTTTGGAAGGTGAAGAAGGGAAGGTGAGGCAAAATAGGTCAAATCTCAGGTTCCCCATTTAAGTTTGCCACAAATAGTTACTAAGTATTCACTTCAGTATCACTGGGTAAATTGCCTCTCATCCTGAGAAAGAGATTGTAACAGGCCAAGCCTGCCTTAAGATTCCTCTTGTGAGAGAAATCTTGTTACATAGTTAAAGAACGAAGGCTGTTGCTAACGAGCTCCTTGTAAGATATGTATTACCAACTGCGCATATTATTGATAGGTAATGTCTTACTATTTATTACTTAACTTCACTTATTAAAAAGTTAATATTTTTATTAATGAAACAATAGAAATTGTGTTGTATGCAAACCCATTTTGTAAACATGAAAAGAAAATCATACCTTTGCGCATTTGTAACTACATATCCTGGACTTGGCATTTCCTAGAAAACCAACAGTGAAATAAACTTTTTCTATTTTGCAGACAGAGATCTTATATTTAGTTTAGAAAATGATGGTTAGGTACTGTCATCCCTACACAGTAATAACCACATTAGGGGTCATTTAGTTCCACAAATATTAAATGTAAGCCTCTGTGTGCTAAAGGCTATGAATAATATGCAGTCCTGCCCATAAGAATTTTTTTATTTACTGGAAGCAGGAGCTGCATTTCTAACTCTTTATTATGTAGTTTCTGGTTATACATTGATTTTTAAGAAATATCACTATCTTTAATAAGGACTCTTTATTAATTGCCAAACCGGCCAGAGACCAGACACACCTATGTGGTCGCTGATGCAATACTTGTGTTCTTTGTGTAGTATCTTCTATGTAAAGAACTAGAGTATTTAAGAAACTAGTTTCAAAATTGGCAGTTTAGAAGATTGGGAGAAATTACTGGTAAAACCAGAGACAGCCCCAAAGTTTGGAATGATATCCTTCAGTTAAAAAAGTTTATTGAGAAATGTAGCATACATGCATATAGTGAAAAATACATAAAAAGAGTTTAAAGAACAACAACAGAAGATGGATACCTATGTACCCATTACTTAGGTTAAGAAAAAAAAACCCATGTTCTGAGACCTAACTTTTTTAGTATGTGTTAGGTGACTCAGGCAATAGCTTTCTTCATTTTTAATGTTTTCATTTATTTTTACTCTTACCAACTATAATACAACTTGAATTTCAAATCATGAAACAAAAATAATCTTTTATGGAAATAACATGAACAAAATTGCTGCACAATTTCATAACCATCTCATAAATATTTGATTTAATCAGATAGCCTATATATAAAATATGTTCTTGTCCATTCAAAAGGCTTGTGTTTCTATCTATGGAGTTACATGAAATAATGTCTCAAGTTTTAAAGGTTTTTATAAATTCACAATTCATTAAAAAATGTATATGTATTTGAAACGAAAGTAGAGAGTGAGAACTTTGAGAACTTTTGTGTTGTTTTCAAAATTTGACAAAAGGTAAACTTTAATTGTGAAAAGGAAACGTGGGCCCTGTTTTGTTTTTTTCTAGATTTGTTTTGCGGAGAGAAGTGGAACTATACAATTTTTATGCTAACAGTTTAGTACTAACATAATCTTCTGAAGAAATGATACTCTGAAAATATGTAAAATGAGAGTATTTTAAAGGTGGCTCCCTCTGCCAATATTTTGGCCATAAGACACTGCAGAGAAAAGCTGGTTTATATTTTCTTTTGGTTACTCCCCAGCAAAATTGGGATATTGCCTGATTTCTGTTGTGCTTCTGCTTAGAATTTTAAAACTTAGAATGAAGTGAAATAAAATATCATAATATTTTATTTATATTTAATATTTTTTGATCCATTTTTGCCTATAGAAAATCCTTATATTTCATACTAAAAGTTTACTGGTGAAGAAGAAAAACGCTTTTATGAAGTTAAGACTATATTTTAAGTTTGATGTAAATCTCTAATAGAGCTTAATGAAAAGAGGGACTTTGTTCTGTTTTTTTTATTAGTTGAATTATTTTTGCTTTTTATGTGCATATTTTGTTTCCTTGATAAAACTAAAAAATTTTTGAGGGTAAAGTTACTTTTTTTTCTCTTTGAAACAGTTAGCAGAGGGAAGATCATTAGTAACTCAGTAAATACCCATTTAATCATTACTAATTATACTTCACCAAATGCTTTTATCATATGTATGTGTTTATACATTAGGATTCCAGTCTATGAATTTCTTTTTGTTTCATGTTAATTTTTAAGTTTGTTTTTTTTTTTTAAGTTTATTTATTTATTTTGAGAGAGAAAGAGAGTTCTGTGCATGTTCAGGGGAGGGGCAGAGAAAGAGGGAGAGAGTGAGAACCTCAAGCAGGCCCCATGCTGTCTGTGCAGTGCCTGACGTGGGGCTCAATCCCATGAACTGAGACCATGACCTGAGCCGAAATCAAGAATTGGATGCTCAACTGACTAAGCTACCCAGGTGTCCCTTAGGTTTTTATTTAAGTAATCTCTACACCCAACAATAGGGCTTGAACTCATGACCCTGAAACTTGGAGGTCAAGAGTTGCTTGCTGTTCTGACTAAGCCAGCCAGGTACCCTCCCCACCCCCACCAATCTATGAACTTCTTGGCCATTAAAACCTTCACATGAGTGTGGTTTCCTTAATGGCCCTCATTGCAAAGAAACTATTCAACTACTGCCCACCCCTGCCCTCACTCCGGCCTTTTTTTTTCTTTTTCTTTTTTTTTTTAGAGTAGGCTCCATGCTCATTGTGGGGCTTGAACTCATGACCCTGAGATTCAGAGTTACATGCTTTATGTGCCCCTAACCCTTTTTTATTTTTTATCTACTTTAAATCTGGAAAAGAATACTATCTTGGTTTAAAATATCTTAATTGCTAATCTTGTCAAAACTTGTCTTTAGAAAAGCAAAGAATGCCTCACAACTTTTTTTCTTTTGCATTCTTGAGATTTTTTTTTTCTTTCTTTTCTTTTATACTTACCAAGCCCTAAATTCACAGAGAATACGTTCCAGCAGCTCAGGCTCCTTTTCATTGGTTCTCACCAAATATGCTTCTCTGGGTGGAGCAGGCTAGCCCTTGAGTTGAACCCAAGTACCTTTCCCTTTGGCTTCCTTCTTTTTCTGATCATTTTCCTTCACATGCTTTAGGAAGTTATTTTGGCTTTTTTTTATTTTTTAATGTTTATTTCTGAGGCAGAGAGAGAGCATGAGTGGGGGAGGGGCAGAGAAAGAGGGAGACACAGAATCAGAAGCAGGCTCCAGGCTCTGAGCTGTCAGCACTCAGCCTGATGCCAGGCTTGAACTCATGAGCCACAAGATCATGACTTAAGCCAAAGTTGGACACTTAACCGACTGAGCCACCCAGGTGACCCGGAATTTGGTTTTTCTACAAGTACCACTGGCCTCTAGACTTATACCTGGATTGCGGTGTTCTTTTCTTTAAAAAAAATTTTTTTTAATGTTTATTTACTTTTGAGAGAAGGAGACAGAGCGTGAAGGGGAGAGGGACAGAGAGAGAGAGGGAGACACAGAATTGGAAGCAGTCTCCAGGCTCTGCGCTGTCAGCACAGAGCCCGATGCGAGGCTCGAACCTACAAGCTGTGAGATTATGACCTGATCAAGATCATGACCTGAGCCGAAGTTGGAAGCTTAACTGACTGAGCCACCCAGGCTATTTGCCCAATAATTTTATTGCAGTGTTTAGCAATCAGTATAAGTCAGCTGCAGCCCAACCAAATAATTCCATTTTTAGATAGAGCCAACAGAATGCATACATTAGAATAGATAGATTGAGGTGTATTCATATAAAATACAAAGAGTAATGGACTGTTTAGACTGTAAATACACATAATAATGGATGTCACAAACATAGTTGAAAAGGCACAAAATAATATATACTATTGAATATATATAAAATTCAAAAATAGAAAAACGAATCTAGGGTATTAGAAGTCAGGATAGTTGTGGGGCGCCTGGGTGGCGCAGTCGGTTAAGCGTCCGACTTCAACCAGGTCACGATCTCACGGTCCGTGAGTTCGAGCCCCGCGTCGGGCTCTGGGCTGATGGCTCAGGGCCTGGAGCCTGTTTCCGATTCTGTGTCTCCCTCTCTCTCTGCCCCTCGCCCGTTCATGCTCTGTCTCTCTCTGTCCCAAAAATAAATAAACGTTGAAAAAAAAAAATTAAAAAAAAAAAAAAAAAGAAGTCAGGATAGTTGTTATCTTTGTTTGGAGTTGTGACTGAGAGAGGACACAACAGAACTGAGTTTCATGTTCTGTTTCTTGGTCTGGGTATTATTGACTTAAGTGTTTTTACCTTATGAAATTTATGATTTGAGCTGTATCCTATGACTTGTTTACTGTTCTGAATGTATGTTTTAGGTCAACAAAAATGCTTACATAGGGCAAAAAAACCTATGGGCTAAGGTGAGATTGCCCAGGATGTATATATAAAGTGAGAAGAGTGACAGAATGCTGAGGAACAAAGAAACCATGCACATATTCCTATTTCTTTCCCGATTTTCCTCAGTTTTTCCTATGAAAGTTTTGCATAAGGTAAGGATAATGCTAAGAATGAAACTTCTGTTAGAGAATGGGATTGCCCTTGTAGCATTTCTGCATAGAGACTGTTTCCAAGGAGACATTGGACAATTTATTCTTAGATTTTGCAAAAGTCAAAGAGTTGGAGGAAGAACTACTATCATGAGAAAGACTTACCAGGAAGCAGGAGATGGTGCTAAACACAGAACAGCAACATTTTTCTAAATCTTCCTAGTGTATTGGATCCCAGTCAGTGCACTGTAACTATATCATCATCTCTCAGTGATACACTGAAATGATATATTTGTGAATTATTTGGTTTGAGGAGGCAAAACAGAAGGATTTCCATACCGACCATCTCCTCAGAGTGCTTTTACGAGTGGGAAAGTACTCCCAATTAAACAGAAAGGTCTATCACTAAAACCTATTAACATACAATATTGGAAAAGTGTTCATCTGGACCACTGCGTACTTCTTTCTGTTTTCCAGAAATGGCAAGAAGTCTTTTGAAGACATCATCTTTGTCTGTGAGGACAAATTTACTACATCAAACGGGATTGTCACTTTATAATACATCCCATGGCTTCCATGAAGAAGAAGTAAAAAAAAAACTTGAGCAGTTTCCTGGTGGATCCGTTGACCTTCAGAAGGAAGATAGTGGTATTGGCATTCTTACCCTGAACAATCCAAGTAAAATGAATGCCTTCTCAGGTATAGAGATCTTTCTTTTGCTAAAGAATGACACTAAATCTAAGCTGCTGTCACATATTTTTATCTCTAGTGACAATTCTTGAATGTTGTGGTACTCTTGGAACACATACACTCACACTAAAAACCCAAACCATCACTTGAACCAGGAACATTTTTTATTAATTGTGAATATTTTAATCTTTTTAAAAAATCCATGAATACCAATGTTGATAAAAAGGAAACTTGGAAATTAATCTTGCACTTGCCAATGTATTGCAGCATTTCCTGACTCTTAGATACTGGTAAATCTAAGTAAATTACATACTGGTAAATCTAAGTAAAACCTTCTGTTTGCCAAGCAGCATTCTTGGGCATGTAAGAATTTTCTGTTTAAGGGACTGAAAGTCCAGGACATGTGGTAATTTGTAATTTTGTGCCAAAGCTCAAATTTGAACTATGCTATTGTGATGTTATGCAAGAGCTGAGTGAGTAATACTGCTGACTCTAGCATTTCTCCCTGCTTCAAGATGATTTTGGCAATTTCTGTCTGTCAGTGATGTACCTTGTGTACCTTGTGGGTTGTTAATGATGTTGTACAAGAGCTAATAAATAACCTTGCTGACTGCCCAGTCAAGGTGACTTCGGCAATTTGCCTGTTATGCCCGTCATGGAGGGTAAATTATATTCTGTAGTATTTGAAATACTGAGCTTAAAAATACCTCTATAAATTTTCATACCTTGAGACCTAATTTAGTAGACTGTAAACTTTGTAAGTTAGTCATGGTGGGTCTTTAAAACGCAAGATAACTTTTCTCTTATCATAATTCAGAGATGTCTCTCTCTCTCTCTTAGTGCTATCCAGTAGAAGTATACACAGATGTGAACCACATATGTAAATTTAAATTTTCTGGTAGCCATATTTTTATTTATTTATTTATTTATTTATTTATTTTTAATTTTTTTTAACGTTTATTTATTTTTGAGACAGAGAGACAGAGCATGAACGGGGGAGGGTCAGAGAGAGGGAGACACAGAATCTGAAACAGGCTCCGGGCTCTGAGCTGTCAGCACAGAGCCCGACGCGGGGCTTGAACTCACAGAACGTGAGATCATGACCTGAGCCGAAGTCAGACGCTTAACCGACTGAGCCACCCAGGCGCCCCACGGTAGTCATATTTTTAAAAAGTAAAAGGAAACAGGTGAAATTGGTTTTTTTTTTTTAATTTTTTTTTCAACGTTTATTTATTTTTGGGACAGAGAGAGACAGAGCATGAACGGGGGAGGGGCAGAGAGAGAGGGAGACACAGAATCGGAAACAGGCTCCAGGCTCCAAGCCATCAGCCCAGAGACTGACGCGGGGCTCGAACTCACGGACCGCGAGATCGTGACCTGGCTGAAGTCGGACGCTTAACCGACTGCGCCACCCAGGCGCCCCATGAAATTAGTTTTAATAAAGTACTTTATTATCCCAGTATATTAATAGTTCAACATGTGACTCATATGAGAAATTATTTATATGTTGTTTTCCCTTTTTTTATACCAACTTTTTGAATGTGGTGTGTACTTTACACATAAACGCACATCTCAGTTTAGCCACATTTCAAATGCTCAGTAGCTAGATATGGATGGTGGCTACTTTATTGGACCATGCAACTCCATACCCTCAATTGGTTCAGAGAATAAAAAAGCCAATTTTAATATTAACCTAGGAAAAATAAAATTAGAAAAGACTGCTCTAGAAAATTAGACTAGATTAATAGTCTAACTTACTACTGAATAGGTACAAATAATTTATATTAGTAAAGATTTTTATTCAAATGGAAACAAATACTAATTTGATGGCTGATGTTTAAAATGAATACAAGCAGAGATGCTTTGACTTGGGTAATGGTGTTTGGTTGACTTGGTCTGGGAGAAGTTGAGTGAGCCCCACACCACACAATTTTCAAACCTCAAGGCTCTGGTTTGAAAATTACCCAACCAGCTACTCTTTAAGGTTTCTTCTGGTTTGAAAATTACCCAACCAGCTACTCTTTAAGGTTTCTTCTAACACTTAATGCTTAGTTTACCAGAGTAGAAAAAGATGAGTTCAAGATTAACTACTGGTATAGATGTCTCATACTTAAGGCCATTTTTTTAGAAGCTTAAATATTAGGGATGATTGAAGGTCCATATTTATCTATATAGATTTATTCTTGTGCTAAATGACTGTGTTTTTTAAATTATTTATTTTTATTTTTATTTTTTTGTTAAATGCTACTGGACTGTATAAATTTTGAGAGCAAGAACTATATTTATAAAATACCTAGAACATCCTTGGGAAGGGCTACTATTTTAGTTAGGTCATAATTAGCAGTTGGAAAGGATTCTAACTTTCTATACATGTGGAATCTACTTGTGAATCAATAACATTAACATTTATTGTGGAACTACTTCCTTACTGGTTACCTCAGAAAATGGCAAAGAAAATAATAGTTCTTGATATCCTGGGGTTTATGTTCCAGAATAGTATACATAGTTTAATGGGGCCTGTATAGTAAGTTTTGGAACCTTGTGATACAGAGAGTCTTTGCCAGTTTTAACCTTCTGTTATGATCTTTATATTGGCTTCTAAAATATTTTCTTACAAAGTTTCTTACAAAACTTAATCATGTTGACAGCATTATGAACTTTATGAACTTGGAAGACCACCACAGATAAGAATTATAGCCCTGGGGTGCCTGGGTGGCACAGTCGGTTAAGCGTCAGACTTCAGCCAGGTCACGATCTTGTGGACCGTGAGTTCGAGCCCTGTGTCAGGCTCTGGGCTGATGGCTCAGAGCCTGGAGCCTGTTTCCGATTCTGTGTCTCCCTCTCTCTCTGCCCCTCCCCCGTTCATGCTCTCTCTCTGTCCCAAAAAAATAAATAAAAAACGTTGAAAAAAAAATTAAAAAAAAAAAAGAATTACAGTCCTTCCTATTCCCATTTAAAATTTGTTCATTATAAAGAAACTCCAGTAGAATTTTGGAATGATATCAAGGTAAAAATGTAATCTATAAATCATAGCATTGATGGTTGGTAGGCATCTTATTGGCAGCCTATGAAGTACTTTCAGAGTATGCCTTGGGCTACTCAGAACATAGTCTGTCAGCTGTGGAACAAGATGCTATGTACTATCCCTTTCCTGAACTAACATCTATTATAATAGTTCTCATGTGGGTAGAGTAGGAATATTATACTTTGTTTTGTATACCACATACCCAGTAGATTGTAAGATCTCAGTCTTCTGGGCAGAACTATATTTGAGTTAGGAATACAGGCATAACTCTTGTTATGAGCTTGTTGATTTTAATAATGCTTGTTGAGCTTGTTGCCTAAGACAACATGTACTTTTGTGAAGTCAGGACTATATTTGATTTAAAAAAAAAATTATTTTTTTTAATGTTTATTTATTTTTGAGACAGAGAGACAGAGCATGAATGGGGGAGGGCCAGAGAGAGAGGGAGACACAGAATCTGAAGCAGGCTCCAGGCTCCGAGCTGTCAGCACAGAGCCCAGCGCGGGGCTTGAACTCACAGACCGTGAGATCGTGACCTGAGCCGAAGTCGGAGGCTCAACCGACTGAACCACCCAGTCGCCCCAGGACTATATTTGATTTTTACCTAAGGAATAATTTTTTCTTACCACCATACCCTTATTTATTTAATTTTCTTATTCCTAGGACATGTATGATATATTCTCATTTTCTACCTAGCTATGTATTTGTGTGATTTCTTAATTCAGACAGAGAAAGATTACTAACATTGTAAACTTTGAAAGCAGGGGCTGTCATGTATACCTCTTTTGTGTATACCCCATGGTACCAACACAATAGGCATTTGATAGATATTTAGTAAATATCTATCAAATGTAGGATCTAAGAGTCATGTTTGATGCCTGATGGCTTTAAATTATTTCTGTTTTTTTGGTATCTTATGTACTTTGATTTGTCTTCTTCTCTGTGGCAGGAGTTATGATTCTACAACTTCTGGAAAAAGTGATTGAACTGGAAAGTTGGACAGAGGGGAAAGGTCTCATTGTCCGTGGGGCAAAAAATACTTTCTCCTCAGGATCTGATTTGAATGCTGTGAAAGCACTAGGGACTCCAGAGGCAAGTATTCTATGAATTGTGCACTAGATTCCACATGCGTGTCAGATATTTATCACTGAGACATTGATGTTTTACATTGATTATTATGATAGCTATCATCATAATAATCAGGATAATATTAAAAGGCTTCCAAGGGTCAGAGGTTTTAGTTTTCTTCTTATAGATTAGGTTGCAATATTGTAAAGTAATGGAGGGGAAGAAAAGGAAGGGCAAGAAGATTAGCAATCACCAAAGCCCATTAAAACCAGCAGGAATTTGAATTCTTTTAAGTGGAAGACCCTTAGCATCTCATGATGAGGAATTTTATATGAGGTACATATATAAAGTACCCAGCAATGCTTTGGCATGTAGTAGGCTTCAACAAATGGTAATGATTAAAACATTTGCTTTTGAACTGCGCTGATAGAAAAGGAATCCTAATCATCTTCCATTATCTTTCAAGGAACCTAGGAACTTCCACCCATATCTCCTAGGTTAAAAAAAAAAAAAGGTGTGGGGGGGGGAGGAAGGAAAAGGAAAAATTTAATCATTGCCATTTAATTATAGGTTTGGGCTGTATATAGGTAATGATGTTTTATTTTTATTTATTTTTTATTTTTTATTTTTTATTTTAACGTTTAATTTATTTTTGAGGCTGAGAGAGACAGAGCATGAACGGGGGAGGGGCAGAGAGAGAGGGAGACACAGAACTGGAAGCAGGCTCCAGGCTCTGAGCCCTTAGCCCAGAGCCCGATGCGGGGCTTGAACTCACGGACCGCGAGATCGACCTGAGCTGAAGTCGGACGCTTAACCCACTGAGCCACCCAGGCGTCCCTGTAATGATGTTTTAATGGTGTTCTACAACTCATACTGCTCTGTGTAGTATATGATCTGTATTTGCATAAAAATGTGAGGAAAGAGCTCTCTTTTGGTAATTTTTATAAGACTTGGATTTGAATGCTGGTTTCAACACTTTCTGGGTAAGTGATTAGAAAAATCACTCAATCTTTCTAAATCTTATTTTAGCTGAAGCATTGGGGATAAAGGAAACTTTCAAGGAAGAAATATTAGATAAGAGAAAGAGAATCATGGATTTGATTTTGGGGAATACATGCATTTACTGGATTAGCTGAATGAGAAAAGAAAACTGAAAAGGAAAAATCAAAGAAATAGGAAGAGAATCAGGAGTGGGAAATATTGCTAGAAACTAAAAGGATTTCAAAATACAGAATTTGGTCAAAGCAAGCTACCATGTGTTAATGGAGACAGGAACATAAGGATAAGGAAAAAGCCATTTCACAAATAGAAGATTATTAGAAACTTTTGAGGGGAGTCTTTTGAGAGGTTAGGGCCATCAACCTCTGTGCAGTTGATAATCTGCATATAACTTGACTCCAATAACTTAACTTCTAATAGCTTATTGTTGAATGGGAAGCTTTACCAATAACAAACAGTAGATTAACATGTTTTCTGTTATAGTTATTATATACTGTATTCTTACAATAAAGTAAGTTACAGAAAAAAAGCGTTATTAGGAAAATCATAATGGGGCACCTGGGTGGTGGCTCAATTGGTTGAGCGTCCGACTTTAGCTTTTGACTCAGGTCACGATCCTAGGGTTGTGAGATTGAGCCCTGTGTTGGGCTCCATGCTGAGTGTGGAGCCTGCTTGAATTGAATGTGGATTGTGCTTGAGATTCTGTCTCTCTCTCCCTTTGCCCCTTCCACCTCACCCTGCTTGGGCATGCTGTCTCTCTCTAGGGTAAAAAAATAAAATCATAAGAGAATACATATTTACAGTACTGGACTATAAAAAATCCACATATAAGTGGACCCATGCCATTCAAACCTGTGTTGTTCAAGGGTCAACTGTACTTTTAAGAAATTTTTTTTTAAATTTTTTTTTAATGTTTATTTATTTTTGAGACAGAGAGAGACAGAGCATGAATGGGGGAGGGGCAGAGAGAGAGGGAGACACAGAATCAGAAGCAGGCTCCAGGCTCTGAGCCATCAGCCCAGAGCCTGATGCGAGATCGTGACCTGAGCTGAAGTCGGACGCTCAACCGACTGAGCCACCCAGGCGCCCCAGAAATTTGTTTTTTATATATTCTTAGGAGATCAGAATTTGGGATAACAGGTGGTGTATCTTATACTTCTTTCCCCCAAATTACCTTGAGTAGAACTTCACACTCTTCTGGGGTATGTAATATGACTCTCATGTCCAAGTCTTTGCTAATATCTCATGCAGAGCTCAAGGAGCCCTAGAAAGTCAACAAAATCAAATACTACATCATTTGCATTTCTAACAGCATCAAAGAATTTTAAATGAAAACCTCATAAAAAAAAAGTTGGGTATATTTTTGGCTTTGTTGCTTTCTAAGTATTTCATATATAATACATTTACATTATAATGTATTTATGCTTATTCTTATTTAAAGGATGGAATGACCTTATGTATGTTCATGCAGAACACCTTAACAAGATTTATGAGGTAACGTATCTTTCTTTATGATTTCTAAAAAAAAAAAAAAAAAATAGCTCTTATTTGTTCTGTTTTGCACCAGTTAAAAAATACTTGATTTTTAAATTATATTTATTTTAATGATGAACTATTTATTTGTGCCATCAAGGAGAGCCATTTAATTAAATGTTGGTGAAGTATGCACAGTTACTTAAAAGATAAGAGAAGGGAGAGATAAAAAGAATTTAAGACATAGCACTTTTCCTAAAGAGCTTATATTACTAGCTATATTTAGGCATAGCCATGGGAAAGTTAAATACTGATATTGGAGCAGAATAAGGACACTGTTCAGGAGATGACACATAAAGATTACCTCATATTCAAAATTAGTAGAACGTATGGTGAAGTGGTGTATATCCAGAAGAGAGAGGAAAAGCCCTATGGATTGGTGATGGCTTTTACCGATTCCTGAGGAAAATGGATTCACTTTGCATCTAGATGAAGAAAAGGCACAAAATTCTTCTTGGCTTATCACTATGCATTTGGGGTTACAAACTATGACGTTTTGGCTAATTAGCTTTCTACTTCTGTATTCCAAATGTAACTAATTTAAAAATTATAAAAAATAAGGAAATTCATGTTATTTAGCATATTTACTAGTGGGGCATCAGTCTATATTTGGTTTTTTCATAGTTTTTGTACCACTTCACCTTCCCTTCGCTATGATTTGAATTTTTCTTAGAGAAATCTTAAAAGTGTTTTTAATCCTTTGTATTTAGAAACATAATCTGTTAATAAATTTCCCATTACTTTAGGCCTGCAGATTTGCGTTTTGGTTAGAACCTACAGAATATTCCATACTTTCAAGGCATTTTATTTATTTATTTTTTTAATTTTTTTTTTCTTTCAAGGCATTTTAGATTTATGTTGTAATATATATTCCTCCAGGAGTGGTTCTTTGCAAAGAGAAAAGGTGAAGAGATTTCTTTTTACCACAGACCCATTCCTTTCCATAGGATTAGATATTAATCATTTCACTGAGTAATAAAAAGACTTTTGGTAAGAATCTTTATAATACAGTTTTGGAGCTCAGTCTTCTCTACCACATTTCCTCCCTTTGGATATAGCCTTAAATTTTGCCATCTAAAGCTTGACATCAATACAAATGCAGTAAGATAAGGTCCCATTGAATTACTCCTGATTGCCAGCTGCTGAAAAGTTGTAGAAACTGTATATTATATTTAAAAAATTCATTTGGAAGGAAGTCATGATATATAGTTACAAAATACAGTAATGTACAAAAAATATAAAGTATATATATCATGTATAGTATATATTATACTTTATAAATTTTATTTATATTACATATTATATATGTGTAATATGTATAAAATATAGTTAATAGCCTAAACTATATAATGATTCAGGGAGGTAGTATGATAAACTTACATAGCATTTAGTATGAATTATTATATCTTAAGAATTAGACTGCTTTATTTTTCATGATATACAGGCTCAAGGTTCCACTATCCTTTGAGGTGTGTTACATTGTTCAATAATTTGTTTCTACTGTAGTTCAAGTTTTTCAAAAATAATATTTGTAAATTAATATTGAAATGAAAAATATTAACATCCATTTTTCCTTTTTCCTTCAATAAACAGACTCCCTTTAATAAGTGTTGCGCTGGTTCAAGGTCGGGCATTGGGTGGAGGAGCAGAATTTACTACAGCATGTGATTTCAGGTAAGGTGAAAATTGCTTTACTCCCTCCACAAATATAATCAACATGCTCAAATTTATATTTTGCTTGAATATAAATATTGTATATATTCTTAAACAAGATGATCAGTTAGTGAATATTTTCTTTTGTCTATTATTAAAGTAGATAATTTTAGTCAATCTAGTATAATAATAACTCTATCATTACTTTATTACTATACATTTCAAAAAGTTAACAAATGATTTTGAGCAAATGAAATCCATGTTAGCAAAATTCCTAGAGAAGGAAGTCAATGAAATGTATGAAACTTTAAGATTCAAAAGAATTATACAGAGAAAAATAAAACACTAAAAAAGAGAAAACAGAATGGAGAAAGAGACACTGCTTTTTCCGATAGTCCTCTTACCAGTAGAGGGAGGTTCTCCTTTTGGTGATGTGTAGTAACTTTGTGGAACTTTTGGACTGGTTAGGGAATGAAATTAGAGAAAATTATTTGGGACCAATAGCCCTCAGTTTCCAGAATTCTTTTTTAATATCGGATAGCTGTATTTTATAGGAATGATGTTCTGTAGAATCTAATGCTTTACTTGTGCTTGAAACTATGTTCTTAGTTACTATTCCTAAGACCTGCTAGCTGAGCTATAAGGAGAACCATTATAGTGTTCTTTGATCTGTACAAATATGGAAGGCAGTATATATAGCTTATATAGCAAGCATAATTGGGGATAAAATGGCAAAACAGTAAAGAGCCCGAGCACTGGAGTCAGATAGACTTAGGTTCAATCCCAGTTTCCCACTTTTTTCTATAGTTGACCCTTGAATAACCTGAGTTTGATGCACGGGTCCACTTATACAGGGTTTTTTTTTTCCCAATAAATACAGAACAGTATTGTAAATGTATTTTCTCTTCCTTATGATTTTCTTAGTAGCATTTTCTATTCTCTGGCCTACTTTATTGTAACAATACAGTATATCATACATATAACATTCAAAGTATATGTCCGTTGACTGCTTATGTTATTGATAAGGCTTTTGGTCAACAGTAGGCTATTAGTAGTTAAGTTTTGGGGGAGTTAAAGTTCTACACAGATTTTTGACTGCATGGGGAGTAAATGCTCCTAACCCTCACATTGTTCAAGGTTCAACTGTATTTGACTTTAAATAAATAACTAGTTTGTCTAAGTCTCAGTTTCTTTATAAAATACAAATAATCTCTGCTAAATATCTATAAATGATTTAATATGTAGATGTTTAGCATAAACTTAACCTAGGTACACATTGATGTACACATGATATTGATTAGATTATAGATAAGATTACCTTACTACTCTTATACTTTTACAGAAATGCCAGTGTAGGAATATTTTGGCATAGTTTTAAACTTACTAATTCTCTTTTCACTAGGGATGCTTTTCAGCCGTAAGGCTAATCCTGGCCTTACTCCTTTTTTCTTATTCATTATACACTTGATGCTGGAAGGAAAATGTTGGAGCATACACTAAGAGGAGACTTTCATTGTTTAAAATTTTTACTTCCCTTTCAGATACTAAAGAAAAAGCATTGTCCCCTGGCACGTGGTGTGGTAGACTAGAGGAAAAATAGTTGAGGTGACTAATTCAGATCTTTTGTTCCATTTCAGTTCTGTTTCTTTGAATCACAAATTTTCATGTTTTCATAGTTCAGATTCCTTTTTTTTTTAAGTTTTTTAAAATGTTTATTTATTTTTGAGAGAGTGAGAGAAACAGAGTGTGAGCAGGGGATGGGCAGAACTGAGGGAGACACACAATCTGAAGCAGGCTCCAGGCTCCGAGCTGTCCGCACAGAGCCCGACGCAGGGCACGAGATCGTGACCTGAGCTGAAGTTGGAAACATAACTGACTGAGCCATCTAGGTGCCCCTAAAGTTCAGATTTTTAAAAAAATTTAAAAAAATATATTTTTAATTATTTATTTTTTTTTCAAAGTTCAGATTCTTAAAGTATATAAGCTAAATCTTATAATCTATCTACTGTACTAAAATGCTATGAAAATAGTCATGGTAATATAAAAGATACTCATCAAAAAGAAAAAACCTATAATTAAAAATACCTAAAGATGTATATTTTTTAATCAAAGACTTTTTTAGCCTTCATTTTAAGAAGTTTTAAATCACTTTTGTTGTGGCATAATTTCCATTCTATACTGTGTAACCATCTCTACAATCCAGATATAGAACATTTTTACCAACCCCACATGTTTGCATGTACCATTTCCCAGTAAGTCAGCACCTTAGTCCAAGGCAAACACTGATCACCTTTTTACTCTAAATTAGATTTGTTTTTTTGGTTTATTTTTAGCATTTTATATAAATAGGTTCATTTAGTATGCTTGCGTGTGTGTCAGGCTTCCTTCGTTCAGCGTAATTATCTTGAGATTTATCAGTTATGTATCATGTATCACTACATCATTCCTTTTTTTTTTAATTTTTTTTTTTAACCTTTATTTTTGAGACAGAGACAGAGCATGAACGGGGGAGGGTCAGAGAGAGAGGGAGGCACAGAATCCGAAACAGGCTCCAGGCTCTGAGCCATCAGCCCAGAGCCGGACGCGGGGCTTGAACTCACGAACCGCGAGATCATGACCTGAGCCGAAGTCTTAGACTCTTAACCGACTGAGCCACCCAGGCGCCCCTACATCATTCCTTTTTAATGTTGAAAAGCTTTTTATTGCATGGATATACTACAGCTTGTTTTCTTTTCTTTCTTTTTTTTTTTTTTTAAGCTTATAAATTTATTTTGAGAGAGACAGAGACAGTATGAGTCAGGGAGGGGCAGAGAGAGAAGGAGAGACAGAGAATCCCAAGCAAGCTCCATGCTGCCAGTGCAGAGCCCGACACGGAGCCTGAACTCACAAAACTGTGAGATCATGACCTGAGCCAAAACCAAGAGTCTGACACTTAACCAACTGAGCCACTCAGGCACCCACTACAGTTTGTTTTCAAGATTCACCTGTGTTATTCCATATTATTGGTGGTTTATGCATTTTGTTGCTCAGTAGTATGGCTTTCTATGCATATTATGTATTATTATTACTATATATTATAGGTAAAAGTCTATATAAGTCAAATATATAGCATATTTTTGTCAAATAGATGTATTGTGAATATTCTTTCAGCCTTTTTATTTTGTTATTAGTGTTTTTCAAAGAGCTGAGATTTTTAATTTTTAAAATATTTTTAACTCTCAGTTTGTAATAATTACAGACTTATGTAAAAGTTGCAAAATTTACATAGATAATTCCTATATAACTTTGACTCGGTTTTTCCAGATGTTAATATCATACATAACCACAGTACAATTATTAAACCAGGAAATTGATATTGTTACAAAACTTTTAACTCATCTATAGACCTCATTCGAAGTTTTTCAATTGTCGTACTAATGTCTTTTTTCAAGTCCAGGATCTAATCAGGCATCTATTTTGTTTGATGTAAATATAGTCATCTCAGCTTTCTTATGATTAACATTTCTGTGGCATATCTTTTTCTGTCGTTTCATTTTATCTATCTATTTATTTTTTAACATTTATTTATTTTTGAGAGACAGACAGAGCATGAGTGGGGGAAGGGCAGAGAGAGAGGGAGACACAGAATCCGAAGCAGCCTCCAGGCTTAGTACAGAGCTCAATGCGGGGCTCGAACTCACATACCGTGAGATCATGACCTGAGTCGAAGTTGGATGCTTAACTGACTGAGCCACCCAAGTGCCCCTGTTCATTTACTTTTAAATGTTTATTTATTTTGAGAGAAAGAGATAGAGAACAAGTCGGGGGCGGGGACAGAGAGAGAGGGAGACAGAATCTTAAAACAGGCTTTGCACTGCCAGTGTGGAGCCCGATGTGGGACTCAAACCCATGAACTGTGAAATCACAACCTGAGCTGAAACCAAGAGTCTGATACTTAACCAACTGAGCCACCCAGGCTTTCCTAAATTGTATTGTATTGTATTGTATTGTATTTATTTATTTATTTCATTTTTTTTTTTATGTCTATTTTTAAGAGAGAGAGTGTGCACACAAGTAGGGGAGGGGCAGAAAGAAAGGGAAACACAATCTGAAGCAGGCTCTAGGCTCTGAGCTGTCAACACAGAGCCTGACACAGGACTCAATCTCATGGACTGTGAGATCATGACCTGAGTAGAATTCAAGACATTTAACCCACTGAGCCACCCAGGCGTACCCCCCAGTTTCCTTTCGTTTTAACCTATGCTATATGTAGTTAGTAGACATTATATATTTGAGTGTTTTTTTTTATCCAGTCTGACAATCTCTGTCTTTTAATTGGAGTGTTTACACCATATATATTCATTGTTATTGATATAATTGGGTTTAAATCTATCATCTTGGTGTTTGTTTTCTGTTTGTCCCGTCTTTCTTACTTTTCTGCCTCATTCTAGATTATTTTTTATATTCCTATTTTATCTCTAATAATCACTATACCATCTCAGCAGTCTTCAAAGCATCTTTACCAGGAATAGGTTCAATCTCAAGAAACCACTTTCTCTGCTCATCTGTAAGAATCAGCTCCTCATCTGTTCAAGTTTTTTTTTTCTTTTTTCTTTTTTTTTTTTTTAAATTTTTTTTATTATTTTTATTTTTTTTAATTTATATATGAAATTTATTGTCAAATTGGTTTCCATACAACACCCAGTGCTCATCCCAAAAGGTGCCCTCCTCAATGCCCATCACCCACCCTCTCCTCCCTCCCACCCCCCATCAACCCTCAGTTTGCTCTCAGTTCTCAACAGTCTCTTATGCTTTGGCTCTCTCCCACTCTAACCTCTTTTTTTTTTTTTTTTTCCTTCCCCTCCCCCATGGGTTCCTGTTAAGTTTCTCAGGATCCACATAAGAGTGAAACCATATGGTATCTGTCTTTCTCTGTATGGCTTATTTCACTTAGCATCACACTCTCCAGTTCCATCCACGTTGCTACAAAAGGCCATATTTCATTTTTTCTCATTGCCACGTAGTATTCCATAGTGTATATA